TTGTTAGTAAAAATAAATTACATGATTCTACTTCCTCTTCGGATCAAAGGGAGTAGAATCAAAAGCATCCACTACAGTAGAGCTTGAGGTTGGAGGAATTGAAGGACCAGGAGTTATAGGAATTGATGAGCTTGGAGGATCTTCTGGGTGAGCCTTCACCATTTCAACAAAAAGCACCTCAGCCTCCTGAGCCTTCGGACCCTCATTGTAAGGGAAGGACACCCCCATGTTTGCATCAAAGGAATCAGGATCCATCGTTTTGGGGCCTGAGCCTTGATTGAAGCCGGACTGGTAAGTTTTTGCACTCGACAAGCGCACCAAAGTGGAGTAATTGCCTTGCATCTATCTCCCAGCAATGACACAAGTTTAAATTGACTCGGTCAAGCGCTGGACTTCAGCCTCCAACGTCTCCACCTTAGCTACAGACTTAGCCAAGCACTTCTTGTAAACATCCCTTGCTTTAGAAGCAATCTTCGCATTCAGGGATGCGTTCGAGGCTTTCTTCTCAGCATTGCCAAGGTCTTTCTCTAGCTTCTTGATTGAGAGAGATTATGCCTCAGCAGTGGCACCCAGGGCCATAGTATGATACAGACCCTACATCATCAAACAACAGAGATAACAATGTAAGTATAGTGGAAACAAAAATTAAAAGAGCAGGGAAGGAAGAAAGAACAGACCTCTATAGCGCGAACGGGGGCAGATAGAAGTAACTGTTCCAGTTCCATTCTGCCGATAATCTCCTCATCTTTGGGGAACCACATTCCCCAGGCAACTACCAGTGCAACTGATGGATCGATGATTATAGAATCACCAAAGTGCAGGACCGATTTATCAGCCCTAAAAAAGGAAGGTGCCTAAGGAGTCCTAGTTTCAGCCAGAACATATGCTTTGACTTCATCCTCTGGCTTAGTCTCTTTAGCCTTTTTCCCCTTACTCTTAGAGGGAGTCTTGCTCCTGTCAGAGGAAGGTGGATTGGGCCTAGTCTTCTTCAGAGGAGGCTCATCAACCTCTATCTCATGCTCATTCGACCTGATAACTACTAAAGGCCGGTCTTCAACAGCTTTCTTCTTTAGAGCCTCAGCCCTCTGTTTTTCTTCCTCAGTCATTGGGAAACTATCGAAGGTCGGAAGAGACAAATCCACGAGGTTTGCAGCTTCAGCTCTGGATGCGATTTCCTTAAGGTTTGCCGGGGTAAGCAAATCCTCAATAGAAGGGGGCTCGCACCAAATTTTCTTTTTAAGAAAGGAAAGTCTCTTCTTGGCAACAGAGGAAGGGCATGTCACTGAAACAAGACCAAGAAATTCATAAGTATACCGGAAGAGTAAAACTTAACATGGGAAACAACTAGAATAATTTTTATGTAAAGAGAGGGCATATTCTATACCTAATTTTCCAAATTTGCGTGGGATTGGGAGCTTGCTTGATTGAGCCATAGCCCATTTCCCTCTAACGATTATCATTCTCTCTTTCCACTTCTTTTCAGAGGATGGGAGATTTGTGCATATCCTCTAGTGCAAGGGAGAGGTAAAGAAAAAACGACCAGGTTCGGTACCATGCTTAGAAATAGTATAAGTAATCAGCAAGTTAGCAAGAATCAGATCAAGACTCTCCAGCCTTCGGCGAACTAAGAGTGCCGAGATTATTCGGAAGAAGTTGGGGTTCACTTGAAGAGATGAAATACCTAACTTATTGAAAACTAAGTGATAAAAAGGGTGAAAGGGGGACCGAAGAGCTTTAAGATACCCAACTGAAAGAAGCAACTCGTCATCTCCAACACCCTCACCAGCACAAAAATCGGCACCCTCGGGGTATTCTACAATCTTAACCCCCTCGGGAATCTTAAAATCTTCCATTGTAGCTTCAATGGAGAATTCAATCCGCCGAACAGACAAAATTGCATCTCTCTCTTCTTTAGTAAAGGTATAATCAGACCCAGAAGTGGATGTTTCGGTTTGAAGTAGAGGGACGTTTGATTGATTGGTCAAAATCTTTGCAGAACCAGTAAGATTGGGAACCCCAGGAGGAGGAACCCTAATAAGTGTAGGGGACGACGAAGGTGTGGACTCAGAATCCACGATTTCTATATGTTAAGGAGTAATCGAAGTACTCATGATGCAAGATCAAAGAGAAAAAGATGAAGAACTAACCTGATAAGACGACGGAATGAAGAACGCAAGAAACGCAGTGAGAGCAAAAGTAACCCTTATGAAATCTCTTAAGGCAGAATGGCAATGGGCAATCTTCGAACCGTCTTTTTGCAAAATAGACAACCGTGCAACTTCAATTCCCTTTTTAATAGGAGCCGCAATACAATTAAAGAGGGAATTGGGGGCAAAGTGTGGAGGGAAAAATCTCCCTCCAATGAGAACTGTACACGTCATCGCAATATAAATACCCGTCACAAATGTCAGAGGCCCATCCTACTCAAAGCCCAGTCCAAGCTCGTTTACAGCCCAAAATCATAAGACACTAGCCCAAGGTCACAACTAATTGATCTGTGTAGCATTGCTCAAGCCCGAAACAAGAGATCCAGCCCATTAGCAACGTCACATGGATCAGGTTACTTATAGCCCAAATCCATTGAAAGGAAATTAGTCCTATTAAAAGAAGGATACAGCAAAGAAAGAAACTACTACACAAGGAAAATTATACAAAGGAAGGAGCTCTATTTGTAAAGAATTTCTGTAGGGAAAGAATTAGAGGACAAGCAATGCGAGTCCTACCATAATTCAACCAATATTTTGTGTATAAATAGAGGCCCAGACCTCCAATAAAAGGATCAAGCAATTCCACGCTTCTATATAAACTGTTCTTATTTATTTTTATTGCTTTTTGAGTGAGTTGTTTTATTTTTCTCAATCATTATTGGTTGAGCGAAATTTTGCACCTACAATGTGCAACATGCCAATTAGGACAAATGAGTACCAAGTGTGACTTAGCTAAAAAAAAAGTTGGATGGAAATTATTATTATTATTATTATTATTATCATCACAAAAACATTGCAGCAATACTCCAAGTCATATTATGACAGACTAAAGAAGAAGAAAAATTCAAATTGAATAGGAAATAAGATTTCATACTTCTAAGAAAAATAGGAACCCCACATCCCCTTACCATATTCTGTGAATTCAAAATTTTAGTATAACATTATACATTACACAAATATATCTTGTTTTAAAAAAAAAATTCTAAAATACACAACTCATCACAATTATAATATATCTTGTTTTTTTCTCAATCATAGTCCACTCAGTGTTTGACTATTTTATCAATGTTTTAATTATAATTTTAGTTATTTTACATGTGTTTTTTGTTATTTGGTAGGTCATTTATAAAATTGATCAATTATGAACACCCAAATAATGAGTTAGTGACCTTTTTCAATTGAAACACTTATTTTAATTGTGTTTTTATGATATCTGTCACTCTAACAGTTATATTTTAAATATAACACTTCTTGTACGATACTTCAAAATAAAAAAAAAAAATTACAGATAATTAGAAACATTAAAATTATATCATAATCATAAATTGTTATCTATAAAGAAAAAAATCGCAACATTGACTATATCTACTATTGGCAGTGTTCTTAACTTATTGAGAAGCAACGACAAAAATGTATATACATAGAAGGATAGAGATAATTTTATAAAGAAACTCTTTCATGTAATAATTACAGTATATTGAATAAAAGTTATATATAAAAGAAACTCTAAAATATTTCAATAATAATGTGATATAGAAGAAAATATAAATAAATATAAAAAATTGACTATATCTACTATTGGCAGTGTTCTTAACTTATTGAGAAGTAACGACAAAAATGTATATACATAGAAGGATAGAGATAGTTTTATAAAGAAACTCTTTCATGTAATAATTACAGTATATTGAATAAAAGTTATATATAAAAGAAACTCTAAAATATTTCAATAATAATGTGATATAGAAGAAAATATAAATAAATATAAAAAATACAAAGACATAAAAAGTTTTTAGAGAGAAGAATTGTAACCTAAATATATAATTTATTTAAGAAGTATAGTGCACTTACAATGTTGGCCTGAAAATGAAAAAAAGTTTTTGCAAGAAGAAGATAACATGAAAGAATTTTTTTTTTTTTTTGAGATCATATAACTCGTAGGCATATATAAGCGAACAGACAACCTTTCACAATAGACGTCTCTTTCAAATATAAAAGTAAAAACGTGTCTTAACTGTTGATGCATTTTAGAAAAAGGAAGCGTCATCTCTTTGGGAAAAAGAATAAAGAAAGAAAACAAAAACGGTGTGTAAAAAGAAAGGCATCTTAACTGTAGATACCTTTTAGAAAAAAGAAGAAAGAAAGAAAACAAAAACAGTGTGTAAAAAAGAAATATGAAACGTGTCGTATAATATTTTTGTAAATTAAAAAAATTATTTTAAAATGTATATAAAAAATTAAAATTGAATACACTTTTATAGGGTATATAGATATATATAAAATTACAAAATAATTGAAAATTTAACCTATTTAATTAGAACTAATATGGAAACTTTAATAATAAAGCAATAATTAGCAGTCTTACTAAAAATAGCTAAAAATATATATCACGGTTACCCTTTTTCTCTAAATTTTTCACTTTTCAAAGGAGATTTTTAGTTTTGTTATAATATAACGAGCCCTGTTTGGTTCCAACTTCTAACTTCTAATCAGATCAGCACCAAAAAAAAAAAAAAAAAAAAAAAACAAAAAACAAAAACAAAAACAAAACTTATGCATAGAAGGTATGTATAGAATAAAGAACCAGTACACTGCCAATACAACAACAAAAATCATCATCAAAGCCAAAAACATAGATCCAAGATGAAAGTTCTTACACAAATTTTCTCAAGGAAGGTGCGTAAATTAAATTTAGATGGAGTACTTGTATATTTGAATTCCAATTTTTTTTTTTTTTTTTTTTTTTTTTCTTAGTTTCAAGTTTTATCATAATAGTTTGAATCAATATAAATTGCGATGGATCGAATGAATAATTGTGAACAGAATCATAAATCAGACGATGATGAGGAAAAAGCATCAACATTCACTTGCAAAATATGTACAGAAGAAAAGCTGCCAACATCAACCAAGAAGTTCAAAAACAATAAGATATGTGTTCACTCAATCTGCACCGATTGCATAGCCAAGTATATCAAAGTGAACATTGAAGAACACAATCCCGCCAAGATTAGATGTCCTTCACTCTTCTGTGGTCAGATGTTGGATCCTCTTTCATGCACTCGAATCATTCCCGCTCAATTGTTCGACAAGTGGTGCGACGTGCTCTGTGACTGGACTCTTCAAGGGTTGGACACATGTTACTGTCCCTACCGGGATTGCTCAGCTTTGATTGTGAATGCGTGTGGAGGGGGTGTGAGGAGATCCAAGTGTCCCAGGTGCAAGAGGCTGTTTTGCTTCCGGTGCAAGCAACCATGGCATCCAGGCTATGGATGTGAAGATCATCAGAGTGATAGTATTATTGAAAAGAGGAATAATTGGATGAGATGTCCCACGTGCAAACATTGTGTTGAACTTACTGAAGGTTGTATCCTTAAGTTTTTCTTTTTATTTATTATATTTTAATATTACATACTTATTAAATATGTATTTACAAAGTATTGACAAAATTATTGAATATGTGGCCCAAGTTTATGAAACAATATGATAGACTTGTAAATAAGAAAAATTAAGACTACTGATAATTGGCGCTCCAACAACATCTTTAGGCGAGCACAATTCTTTTCTTACGAAATAAAATTACGAAAAAAGTTTCCAAACTCAAAATACATAGATCATACATTTTTAATGCCATTATTTCCTGTCTTTCTTTTGGTGAACTTTTATGGGCTTGTGTTTGCAAATGCAGGCTTGATAATGACACTTTTGAGGTGTACGCGACAATGAAATATCCACCAAACAGGGCATAAATATTAATCTTTCAAAAACTAGATGAATTTGTTTTATAAAAATCATATATCAACCTTTACGAATTTGCATAATAAATATCATTAAGTAACAAACACATCACACCACCATAATCCCAAAATGGATTTAACCAAAACACAGAATTTTTCCTTTATTCAAAATAGCTTATTTATTTTACTTTTTCTTTGTTTTGGTCTCTAACCATGACATAATGTAGAACATGTTACATGCCATTTATTCACATGAAGATCACTCGATGATGCTCAGCCTCGCAGGCCAATAACACCTGCACAAGACAAATACATATTGAATTTAGGTTAGATAGTTATAAGATATAATCCAATACATGGAAATTAGGAGACCTCACAGTGTCTTTCTGGAGATAGATGGATACAGTATCCACAGACAATCAATGATCAAGGCAACATGGTATGACTCTAGTAATTAGTGTCACATTTGAATGTCGTGTAATTAACAAATGAAATAAAATTGTGTCATATTGCCAGTACCAATTGATCATATTCCTCGAACAAATAAATATTGTGAACCCTTCTCTCTGAGAGAGAGAGAGAGAGCTATTTTCGCTTACCGCAGGCAACTCTGTCACCAGCATTACCAGTGCTTTTGCTCAGCTCATGTCCCCTTGGATAAAGCAAGCAATGGTTAATGCATGTTTAAATGGGGGCAATAGACGCCAAATTATGCAAAGTGAAGCAATAACCAACCATGAAGATTCCAACTAACTAAGCTCTAAATCTCAAGATTCTCAGGAATCCTAATGGTCCACCAACAAACATAATCAAGTAAAAAAAAATACTGTCCATAACTTTCAAAAATCTCAAAGATTCTCAGAAATCCTAATGGCTCGGATGCGTATAAAAATATTGTCCATAACTTTCAAAACAGCCCTAAGATCTTTGATCGCATCTATGTTGATGCAACTTTAGATCAAGTAAACAATTTTCATTAGTGCCATGCAAATGCATAAATAGATGAATGATTGGAGAGAATGTGGTCGATATCTCCTTAGTTTTTGTAAGCTTCGGAGAAAAAAACATAGAATGATAAAAAGTTGATTTCAATTGCTCTTCCATGCAGCAGCATCCCTTCATTTAAACGACTTTCAAAGTCGTCAAATAATAAATGGCACTAATCTCCATCACGTAATTGTAATAACCTCACAAAAAAACATTATACAACATTATCTAATAACCCTATCCTTGTTATTTTAAAGAAGTTAAGGAACAATAGTTTCAAAGAGACCACCAAAAATTAGAAGAATAAAATAAGATAACAGCAAACTGAACACAATTTAAACATAGTTTTCTGCTTATTATAGCCCCAAGTAAAGGAAACTGATACTTTAAACTGTATCAAACAGGCCCTTAACAATTTCTATATTTCCGCCATAGGCTTTCTTTCTCCCGATCAATCTCCATAACCAGTTACCTAGAAATGCCGATGTATTAAGCCGCACATTGGAGGTTGTTGATATTTCAACAAATGAAGATAAGATTGGAAAAATAAACAAATTATGTGCACAAATCATTTCTTTCTCAAAGTCGTCTTTTTCTAATAACCTGTTGTTAATTGTTATACTTCTATGAAAACCATATATCCTTCTTCAAACTGTCCACTAACATGACCATAATGACAAAAGTCACTTTGGCTAGAAGCGAGAACCTTGTACCACAAGGGTGAAGGGAAGTCAACTGCATAATCCACATTTTAACATAAAAACCCAGCGCTATTCAATCACTAGAATCTCATTCTTATCCAATTTCACATTCAAACCCATAACATAAAGACGGACACAAGAAACAGAAACAGTAGTAGTATCAGTTCAGCGGCCACCTTAGAACTCTGAAAATATGATCATTCCTTGTAGGGCTACTCCCCCGCAACCCTTAGTACCATATGATCATTTCTTCCTGGACAGGAGATATAATTTGTTCCGGTGGAATTGAGACAAATATATATCTCATACAGAAAAAGTGTTCTTGTTGTTATCAACGAGGCATGAAATGTAAGCCCTTATGTTGCCGATGGATTGGCTCACCGCATTCTCCATCTGTGTTTTTGAGTAATAGAAGTTGTTGCTTGGAGTTATGTTGGCATGAAATGTAAGCCCTTATGTTGCCGATGGATTGGCTCACCGCATTCTCCATCTGTGTTTTTGAGTAATAGAAGTTGTTGCTTGGAGTTATGTTGGCAGTCGTAAGAATGGCGAGAAGGTTGATTCTGTCCTTGAGCGCAGTCGCCAAGGTGAAGTACTGCATAGCGTTAAAATTTGAAAGTGAACATATGCCATGTTTACTCCACTCATGCCACCATAAACGACTGAGCGTCAAACCCGTTCGAGACTCAACATTTGAATCTGTGCAGACATGCAAACCACTGGAATTAGTTTAGAAAAACAAAAACAAAAACATTAATTTCAAGGAAAAACTTACCGCCAAGTTGAAGTTGGATGAACTATAATAGCAATTTGTCACACTGCTTCCATTGGGATATGGAGGCTAGAGGCTGTGGAGTGTGAAGTTTGCTAGGGGTGGAGTAAATGCACCCATCCCAAATTCATATACAAATTGTGTTTGTAAATGCACCCATCCCAAGCAGTCGTTTATGGTGGCAGGAGTGGAGTAAAATTTTAACGCTATGCAGTACTTCAAGTTGGAGATTGCACTCAAGGACAGAATCAACCTTCTCGCCAATCTCGCAGCTGCCAACATAAGTTGGAGCAACAACTTCTATTACTCAAAAACACAGATCGAGAATGCGGTGAGCCAATCCATCGGCAACATGAGGGCTTACATTTCATGCCGCGTTGACAACAACAAGAACACTTTTCTGTAGGAAATATATATATCTCCGGAACAAATTATATCTCTTGTCTAGGAATAAATTATGGTACTGCAGGGGAGTAGTCTGACAAGGAATGATCGTATATCCAGAGTTGTAAGGTGGCCGCTAAGCTGATACTAATATTGATGTTTTTGTTTCTTGTGTCCATCTCTCTGGGTGCAGCATATCTATATGGTTAATTTCTTTAATTTCCATATAGTACGTACTTAGCAGCAACAAAAAGAACATCAGGTTGGCATTTGCATACAACAAGAGAATGCTCCATCACTACACCCTTTACTTTCAAAGCCTTCCAGAAAGCTCCATCAAAAAATAAACTGAAGAGATGGCAGATGTCCTTGTCTTCTACCTCCTTAAAGTGCCTGAAGAACCTATTGCATTCCATCCTGCAGCACCCAAAATTGATAATGGATAAAATGCCAAATCAATTTTCCCCACTTCATTCTAAATTCTAGTTGCAATAATATAGAAAAGGAATTCTTAGCAAAATGTGTGATACACACAATAATCAAATTTATAAAACAACACCTAAAATAAAATGAAATAAAACAGATTCCTTTTTAACTCTACTGCTTCTATTTACGAATGAAGATCTAATAATAATCTGACCTTGAAAAAGCTCAACACGAGATTGTACATGCCAGATCAACAAACTGGATGAGCTTTTCATCTGGTTGTTTTCCATTTATAATTCTTATGTTTTTTTTATAGTTCTTATTTCGTAATGCCTAGGTTTTCCCTTTCATCTCTTCTTTTAGATTTCAAGCGACCAAGTTCTCTCTTTTTCTCCTACACAATAATACTTATTTCTAATCAATTCATATGATATACTGTTGTTAAGTAAAAGTTGGTAATCCTCCCTAATTGCAAAGGTTGTGCTGATTGCAGAATCGCATTGATAATATATTTCTATCCACTTCCTTGCAAAAGCAATTGATTGTTCAACAATCTTCGCTTCCCATGACACTACCACCACCTAAAGCTAACATGAGTTTTAGGACGACAATACTAGTTTCCTATGAAACTAATTGCCTAGAAATTCTTAATGAACAATGACCCCCCTCATATAGGGATTGTGCTACCTTCTTTAAAATTGTTATGCCATCAACACTTGCATCTCCTCCAAGAACACACCTGCCACTTTTTGAAAACCCATCATAACCCTCCCTTGGATTTAAAAAATAATGAACCTAGCGGCATCTCCATTTGGATTTGAATCTGTTTTCATGAAAGATCTCCAAACCATGGTGTTCATGATTGTTCAAGTAGACAGATTTAGGAAAAATGATAGGTTTAAAAAAGATACGAATTCATCTTCATGATGCTATGCTCAGCGAGGGAACTGCCTAAGCATACTTTTTAAGTTTTAAATGACAACTAATTTCTTGTAATTTTTTCTAATTATGTTCTTTTCAATGATTTTATTTTACAAATAAAGCTAAGTGGAGGTTCCTGTTATTTAGTCTTGGAGAATGTCAATGAGAGGAGGTTCTTGATATTTAGTCAACCCACAACTAGAACTAAGGTTGACAGCATCCTACGGCAAAAACAAAGGTAAACAACCAACAATGTTGCATTGATTTTTCAATGAATATAAAACTTGTAGAACACAAGGTGACTAGCTCAAACAAGAAACAGAAATCAACAGATATCATGCGTTGATTAAAAACCGACTTAGATATTCAATAGTGATACAACTAACATGCACACAAGAGCAAGACACCAACTCTTGAGTAAAAAATCCAAAACATGCGAGCTTCATTTATTATTGAAAAAGATATATTTCATGAAACACAGATTTTGTAGAGAAAACATAGGAAATAGGATTGAATCAGCTGTTTGAATGAGTATCATAGCAAAAATCCACAAATAATTATGGGATTTCTAAAAGCCCTAACATTTGATTGAAAAAGACGAGAGAGCATACCTCAGACTCAGAGCAACCCTCGCTTCGTTTGGATGGGAAGATTTGGGGGGATTTGGAAAGAAAACAAAGGAAAGGATAAGGAGTGTTGTGTTTGGATGGGATGATTTGAAGGGGAAAGATCCAAATCCCTCATTTGGAATCCCTCCAAAATTGAATTTTGGAGGGATGTGGAGGGAAAGGGAGCTAA